GAGCGGAGTAAGTGTGGTACGAGCGTGTGCACACGCGCATACACAATACTGTATTGCCCTTGCATTGTTCTTCAATAATCCCTTGAATGGTTCGTTACTTTTCTTTGATGAAAGTTACGTTTTGATAAATTTTTAAAATAGAATATGTTCCGGTAGAGATGCATATCGATATCGATGTAGACATCTTCAAGGCATGAAACTTTCCGCGTCATACAAAAAATATAATTTAAATATGAATCTTGATTTCTCGTAATTAAATTATTCAGATCGAAACCATATGTATATCTACGAACCTTCTTGCCTCTTCTTCGTTTCCCTTGGACCTTACATTTCCTTCTCTATTGGGTTCTTTTTCTTTTTCGCACAGAGAAAACAACCCTAAATCTCGGGTTTTACTTGCAGAAGAAGCAATATAGTAGCTAGGGTTTATGTTCTCTGTTACTGTTTAGGGTACAGATCGAAGATGAACAAGGAGGGCTTATCAAACTCGGAGGCTTTCTTCTCTCGGATGGGAACTTGCGACCCATTTGCATCGACGACTTCTTCTTCTTCTTCTTCCGCCCCTCGATGCTCCAAAGGCGATACTGATGATCTCTCCATCATCGTATCTTCCCAAACAAACATGTTCCGAAACTCCAACATCGCAGGGTCGATACCTTGTCAGGATCGTTCCAGGTCTGTTCCATTAGGACAAGACAATGTAATTATCCCACATCGGTCCAAAACCTCGCAGAACAATCGCTGTGAATACGTAAGTATTTCATCTTGAGAACTCATCGTTTCTGCATTTTATATTGCAGTTCATATAAAATTTGAACCCAATATATATGTTTATTCAGGTCAGAATACATCATAGTTCAGACAATAACGGATCAGTTGTGAAGAACGAGGTTACCGCGCAATCATCACAACCCAAAGCCAGCCCGACAAGCAAAACAAGGATAAAATGGACTCAAGATCTTCACAAACAATTCATCCATTGCGTAGAACAACTTGGGGGTGCTGAAAGTAAGAATCATCAAACTGCAGCCACGAACTGTTCTTGATTTCTTGTTTACTTTTCAATATACATCGATACATGTACATATACATACACACGTGTCTGTGTGTGTGTGTTTAGTCTCTAGAAATCTGATTGACGAGTTCTTGAGTTTTCTTTTGCAGAGGCAACTCCAAAGGCGATATTGAAGATGATGAACACAGATGGGCTATCGATTCTCCATGTCAAGAGTCACTTGCAGGTTCTTGTCCTGTAATTACAATCATTTGTCCATTTTCTCTCTTGTTTTTGTCTTTGTCCAATTGTATTCTTTTTGCTGTAGAAATACCGTATTGGTAGGCACATTCCGGAATCTCTTCAAGGTATATTCCTCCACGCCGTTGTTTGTTCTCAATTTTTTTTTTCTTCTTTTAAAAATAAAAAATTCTTGAATTGCAGGCTCTCGTCTTAATCAAAACGTCCAGATTTTTTTAAAAAAAAAATCCAAAATATCTTTAAGTGTTTCAAATAATTATAATCAAAATACAGAAAAAATATATATGACCTTCAAGTCATAAAACCCAGTGTCCGTATGATCTGAACAGAAAGAAGCAGCAAGAAACGTGATGCGGATTCCATAGCTTGGTTCGGCTCAAAAGTGTAAGTCCTATAAACACGTACGATCGTAATATGTTAATTTCTTGAAAATCTATTTAAATTAATATATAAATTTCTATATTTTCTTTTTGTTCAGAGGCTTACAACTCATGGAAGCCCTAAACCAGCAGCTAGACGTCCAAAGAAGCCTCAGCAAACAACTCGAGGTCTCCTCTCTTTCATTCCTGTGTTTACACCCACTCACCCACACATATTATATGTATATACACGTAGAAATTGGAGTAAGTATTTTATATATATATATATTTATTTATAAGGTATGTACTTGATACTATGGTGCTCAGGTTCAAAGAGATCTGCAGGAACGCATAGAAGAAGAATGGAAGAAGCTTAGGCAAATGTTGGACCGACAGCTCCAAAGACAAAAATGATCAAACCCTAATTAGACCCTTAAATCAAATAATTAATCTTTCTGAGTTTAAAGCAATTCATTGGTGAGTGTGGGCGATCAACTTAAGGATGCTAATTAACCTTTTTTTTTCTGTCGTTTTTTAAATGTGATCATTTTAGTATTTGATTAATGATACCGCGCATAATTCGCTGATAGATGTACGCACGTATTTATAATTTTACACAAATCACGAAATAGATACGCCAAAACATATGCTTTGGAACACTAATTTCAATGTGTGTATATATATATATAAGCACACACATATACAATGAGATTTGAAAATGATAAATTTGAATGATTTGTGTGTTTGAGATTAAATACAATAAATAACTTGAACAAGAAAGAAAAAAATAAAAAAAATAATTAGAATCCGGTTGGAGTTAGATGAGTAAATCCAAAAGGACCAATTACATGTTTATAGTGTAAAAAAAGATCATGAAATATCTTGAAATGATGAGATTAGAAATAATAAGACAAGAGTTTGAACCAATATTTGTATGTGCGGCATTATTATAATTTGTATACGCATATTATATACATGTAATACATGTGCATGTGTAGACAACTGGTCCCATCTGAAAAAAATTTGCTTCTCGATAAACCCAAAACTTCATTAAGATTGATAGGCCCAATGGCCCATTGGGCTTAAAACACAAATCCACAAGAACGCAGTTACCGTGGCCGAAACGACAGCGTTTTAATCCGAAGTTTACAAACAGACATTCTCGGCTTCTCCTCCTCCTGTTCCAATTTCTTCTCATCGTTTCTTTTAATTTTACTTATTTTATTGTTTTCGAATCAATGAGCATCGAAAAATCTGCATTTTAAATGAAATCTCGGAATTTTTCGACTTGGGTCGCTGTTTTTTGGAACTTGGGAGAAAAAAAGAAGAAAAAAGGCTCAAAATAATTGCGGAATTATTTTCCCAGGAAATCAAATTAAGGCTTTGAATGGAGATGGCTTTTATTTTGAGTTTTTGGTTTTAGTTTTTGGATTTTGGTTTTTAGTTTTTGGTTTTTGGCTTTTGAATTTTATAATATTTGAAAACTCAAAAAAAGTAGCTTTTGGTTTTTCATTGATTTTTTCACTAAAATGACTTTCCAAGTTTTTAGGAAAAGTAATTTTGTAAAAACTTGAATGTTGTTTTTTTTTGTTTTTGGATTCTAAAAACTCCAAAAACTCCTACCATTCAAGGCCTAAGATTCATGAACGAGGAAACAAATTCATCTTCTCATTTCACTTCCACAAACCCTCATCTCCTTAACAACAAGCGATTCAATGTTATTTCATAACTGTAAAAGACAACATAAAACAAAAGCAAGAGATCTTGTCCTGAGAACATGAAAGGATAGAATCTGGTAAAGAAAGATTGGATCAAACCCTTATGTTAGAATTATTAAACTCACTGTTCCTCGTGAACATGTGCATCTTGATCTGGATCCGGATCCGGATCGGATGACGAACTTGCTAAAACATTGCTCAGGATCTGGTTAACTGTTCTTGATGCTGCTGCATTTGCTGGGCCAAGATGATTAGGTTTCATATTAGCATGCGGCGACGGGTTTGGACGGTTGATGCAGTTGTTGACGTTCGGTGCAGGATTAGAACTTTGTTGACGAACCCTTTTTCTCGCACAAATCAAATGAGCATTGAATCCGCACTCGTTGCACCTATACAGCCATGAATTCGAACCCATACCTCGGCATATCATGCAGCAGAAGCTCCCCGAGCTGTCGGGAACCGAAAACGTGAGCCGGAGCTCGTGCTGAGGGTGAGACTGGTTCGAGACATGGGAAGGCATGTTGGCGCAGACAGTGTGGAGATCGATCCCGCAATCTCCGCAATGGTAAGAAAAGCCATCTCCGTCTTTCCCACAGGCGTCGCATCTGAAACGTCCTTCTTCGTATCGGGGAAGGGGAATCAGGGTTAGGAGATGGATTTCGTCGAAAGGGTGTTTGATCTTCCGAGGCATTTCTGCACATTTCTCGTGGAGGTTAAAGGCGCAGGCCAAGCAGGAGTAAGATGGTAGACCCGCGAGCTTGAGCTTGCAGGCTGAACAAGAAGCTGAGCCATCTCGAGGGTCGGAGGCTGAGAACTGCAACGGGTGGGGATGGCTGAAATGTCGAATGGAACTTCCCGGTTGCGCCTTCGGTCTCCCCATCGGTTAATTTGGTTGGTCGACGTGAATCTGATCAATGGCTCGGATCTTGATGGAAGTTTGAAACTTCAAAGTCTTCGCTGTTACAAAGTCTTCGTACAATTATTGTCAGAAAACAGAGTGTACATTGGAAAACGACACTTGCGTTGATTTTTTTTAATAATCGCAACGACTTGGAAAGTCAACTTTATTGTAGTTTGTGACCCAATTGCGAAAATAAAATTATATCATGATCATTCTTCGTATTTTTATTTCTTTTAAATTATTTTTGTGTTAATAAAAGGGTAAACTTCCTAAAAATTCTCGGACTTGCAAAACATTGGAAAACTAATTCCTCAACTTGCAACCTAGAAAAATAATTCCTCAATTTGCAAATCTTACCATTAAAAATTCAATTTTTTACCAACATTTTACGGTCACTTCCGTTAAATAACATCTTAGGTAGCATTCTACTTCATATTCTAATTCTATGTTATAATTAATTATCATATAATCAATTTTTAAATTAAATAATAGAAAAAATTAAATCGATAAATAAAAATTTATGAACCGATATGTTAAAACAATATATTAATTTGAACCTATTTGTTTTTATGATTTTCTGGGTTATTCGAATCTATTAGAAAACGTGGGTTTGAATTTGATATAAATAATTTAATTTTTTTGTTTTCAAATAAAGATGGGTAATTTTCTAAAAGACAATTTAACAGTTTAGAAAATATATTAATTTGAACCTATTTGTTTTTAAGATTATTTGGGTTATTCGAATCGGTTAGACAACCTGGGTTTGAATTTGATATAATTTTTATTTATCGATTTAATTTTTTCTATTATTTAATTCAAATATTGATTATGTGACAATTAATTATAACATATAATAAGTTCTAAAATGCCACATAAGATGATATTTAACGGAAATGATGGTAAAACATTTGTTAAAATTTTAATTGGTAATGATTTACAAGTTCAGGTATTCTAATGGCAATATTTACAAATTGAGGAATTATTTTTCTAGGCTACAAGCTGAGGAATTAGTTTTCCAATACTTTGCAAGTTGGGGAATTTTTAGGGAGTTTATCCGTTAATAAAATAAAAACCTTGCGAAACTAGAGGGGAAATGGGACGAATCAAAGTCAAAGAAGCCATTGGTTTGTACATATCATCAATTGTCAACGGTCTCTTGTCATTATTTCTCCATTAACAGCGATAAAAGATGTAAATTACACTGCAATTTGCTTAATCAAATTCAAAAACTTCGCAATTTCCACGCATTATCCGATCCAAAGTCTTCCACAAAATTCCGCATAAATAGCTCCAAGCCCGTAAACAAGTTCTTCACATCTTAACAAGAAACACAAAAAAACCACAGTATAAGAATCTCTACCATGGCTACAAGAAAATCCGGTGCCAGACCAGCTTCTCGCCCTTGCGTGAGGCATCCGGGCCATACCCATCCGTTGCGTCTGTTCAAAGCCAAAGACGAACACGAGGTCGTCTGCTCGGGTTGCGAGCTCGAGCTGGTCGGGCCAGCTTTCAAATGCACCAAGTCGGAATGCGATTACTTCCTGCACAAGTCATGTTTCGAGCTTCCGCGTCAGACCTATCACAAATCTCACCCTGACCACCCTCTGACACTGGTCCATTCTCCACCCTATTCACAGTCCATCTACACGTGCGATGCGTGCGGAGAGTACGGAACTGGGTTCACTTACAGCTGCTCCGAGTGTCAGTTCGATGTTCATGTCGGCTGTGTCTCGTTGCCTGAAACCATGGAGCGTGATGACCATGAACACCCTCTCACTCTCCTCTACTGTTCGCCTTACAAGGACAACGTAGGAGACTTTGTTTGCGACGTCTGTAGAGAAACCGTGCCGGAGAATTTCTGGGTGTATTACTGTAAGGAATGCGACTATGGCACGCACGTACACTCGTGTATGGCTTATGAAGAGACAAAAGAAGAAGAAGAAGAAGGAGAAGAGGAAGAAGAAGAAGGTGGTGATAACGGCGGGATCAAAGAAAAGACCGATTCAACAGTTGCTGCCATGTCGTCGATGTTGGATGCTCAGAGACAGATGCAAATGATGCAGTTACAGACACAGATGGCGTTTCAGAGGGCACAAATGATCAGAGACATGGGGAGGAGCATGGTCAATTTGGTCTGATCTCACTTTTCCTTCTTCCAAACAGTTTGGCATCTCGTTTTCAATAAAACTCAACATGTTGAGTTTCTCTTTGATGATCTTTGGTTTTCTTGTGATTCTTGTTTTCATGTGTTTTTGTTGTAAGTTTTTAACTTTTCATTGTGAGTGGATGAATCTGAATCTCTTACAAAAAAAAAAAAATATATCAAATGAATAAACCGTTTTTATATTTTTTTTTTTAAATTGCCAAACATTGAATAACTTTGATATTTTTGTCAAATAAATAAATTTTCCATTTCATTGCTATATCGGATCGTTTAATCATCATAACAACAATTTTACATTCACAAATTCCACAACGCATGTCTCCAAGCAAACTTTTGTATTTACAGTCAAAATATAGTACGACAAATCAGTTTAATTTGTCTCATATCGGGTAACCCTATATAGTGGTAGATCTTGTATCCTATGATACCACAATGAAGCAATATTTTCACAATAAACATATGATATTGCTTAGTGATTCGAATTCCAGACTAAAGAAAACATAGAAGGAAAAAAAACTTTGCAAAATAAAAAAATATTTAGCAAAATGAACAAAATATGTAGATGAAAAAATTAATAGTATTTAGATTCCTAGAATATATACATATATATATATATATATATATATATATATATATGCTCTTCCAGAAAAAGTATCAATGAGTAATATAACAACATTCAGGGGGATGTAACAATGTTTTTATTAAAGGTAACAAATTGTGAGATTGAAAAAAAAGGTAAATATTTTTTTTTAAAAAAACAAACCTGTATACTAGTGGCAATGCTTTACTCCTGTAAATGCAAAATTGAAATAAGGGTGTGTGTGTGTATATATATATATATATTCTCAAAACTATAAAAAAAAACAAATAACCACATATATTTTGGCCTTTGGAGGGAAAACCCCACCTATTTTAGAGAAGTGTGGAAAAATAAATCTCATTTATTTTTTATAGTATTGAGAATTAGTTTCATATATGTTTCTCTAATGAAAATGGATACTGTTTATCAGAAAAAATTAAGAATAATAATAAAAATAATTTATCGTTTAATCAATGAAGAAATTTTAGACAGTCTTACAAATCATTTTATTTTATAATTTGTATTTGTTATAGTAGAGAGAGAGAGAGAAAGAGAAATACATAATAAAGATTGAAAAAGAAAAATGATAACCCAAACAATTTACCAAATAAAGTTTTGCAACTGTCACACCAAATAAAATTGGGGAAAAAACGATATGTATGTTTAATATTCAACTTGTGGATATTTCGTCTTTTAATTTTATTTCATACAAATTCTCATTTTTATTTTATTCTTTATTGTTTTGTTCCCAAAACAGTACCAGAACTTTTCAATTTTAACAAAATAAAATCTAAACTTGATTTTTATCAAATAAAACATCAACTTCATTTTTCATTCAAAAATAAATATAAATTTTATAATTTTTGTCATTTTTAAACCTATTGCTGATTTGGCAATATGTCAAAATTGAAAAAACGAAGGAATACTTAATACTTTAAAAAAAAAAAAAAAAAAAAACGAAGGGATAATTGAAAAAAAGTTTGCATAATCTACAATATGTCAAACTTATTGTATTAGTTGAGGACTCGCAAGCGGGGTTATTCTTTTTTATATTTTGATTTTTTGATAAAATTTCTTGATATATATATATTTATTATATAATGATACATGTATTTTTGATATATATATATATATATATGTTTGATGTCAATAAACAGTATGTAACATAAATAGTTTTCGACACATTTCAATTTTAATTGTATTTTTTAATTATAAATCTCGTTTTATATATACTATTTTACAATTTTAGAACGTAATAGTTTTTTATATCAATTATTTGTAATATATTTTGTATAAAAGGAGTTGACGATGCATTTTGTCATTTTGTTTTATCTAACCTCAAAGTTGTGATGAATGTTGATGACACATCTTTGTTATTAGAGTTTTCTATATGATCTAGATTTTTTAATCATGATAATAAAGTAACATGAGAGAGTATCATATAATGATGATGACTAAAGGATGGTTATGGAAAATATAGGGTTATCTATTTAACATTTTGCTTTTGTCTTTTATCTATGACCATTTTTTCAGGGATTATTATTTTTTATACATTAATTATCTTTTTACAAAATTTATAAATACGTATGTGAAAAAAATTATATACATTATTTAATTTATACAGAGAAAATAAATTAATACAATTAAAATATTGTATATTTATCATCACGTATTATACTATCAAGTTAAAAAAATAAGTTTAGGTGTTGATAGATTTGATATTATTGATTTATTTATAGGACGTTCAGTGTTTTTTCAATTTCTACACACAACACCAAAAATAATATTCTTAAATATTTTTTTATTATATTTGTATAAAACTTATTGATATGAATTTACTAAAAATTGTGATAGATAATTGGAATTTTTTTTTGTAATATTACATATATATTTATATAAAGAAATATGTATATTCATAAAAAATAAAAATATATAATTCTGAAAAATACATACATTCATATATATAAATATATATACATAAATATATATATATATATATATATATATATATTTATTTACATATATGTATATATACATATATGTTATACTATATAACATATATACATATATTTTTCGATTTGAATGATTCAATCTAATTTTGGATTTTATTACAAATAAAAAAAATTATTTATTTTTATTAAAAATAGCAATTATTGTATGAAAAAATGATCAAGTTTATGACCACTTATTTCTTTATTTCATTTTAAGAAGGAATTAGCGAATTCATGATTTAATCTGTCAAATTAAAAATTCATGTATTTATGTGTCACATTTGGTCAAATTCATATATTTTTGTGGGATTTTTCCTAAAACATTTCAATAAAATCATCTTTCATTATTCGAGTTTTTAAATGACAAAAAAATTAAAATAAATGCCAGATGATGAAGAAGAGGACTCGAATCCTTTAAACCCTATTATGCAAGTTTGTTTTATTTATTTATTTTTTAAATTTTTTACCTTTTATTTCAATATCACAATTTGTTACCTTTAATAAAAACATTGATACATCTCCCTGAATGTTGTCATATTTGATACATTTCCTGGAAGATCATATATATATATATATATATATATTCTATTCTAGGACAACTAAATTTTATTTGGTATGACAGTTGCAAAATTTTATTTGGTAAATTGTTTGGGTTATCTTTTTTCTTTTTCATCTTTATCATGTATTTCTCTCTCTATTCCTCTTTACTATAACAAATACAAATTGTAAAATAAAATGATTTGTAAGACTATCTAAAATTTCTTCATTGATTAAATGATAATTTATTTTTATTATTATTCTTAATTTTTTCTGATAAACAATATCTCATTTTCATTAGACAAACATATATGAATTAATTCTCAATAATATAACAAAATACGCTTCTCTAAAATAGCTTGGGTTTTCCCCCGAAAGGCCAAAATATATGTGATTATTTGTTTTTTTTATAGTTTTCAGAATTATATATATATATATACTCTTATTTCAATTTTGCATTTACAGTAGTAAAGCATTGCCTCTAGTATACAGGTTTGTTTTTCTATAAAAAAAATATTACCTTTTTCAATCTCACAATTTGTTACCTTTAATAAAAACATTGATACATCCCCCTGAATGTTGTCAGATTACTCATTGATACTTTTTCTGGAAGAGCATATATATATTCTATTTTTTCATCTACATATTTTGTTCATTTTGCTAAATATTTTTTATTTTGCAAAGTTTTTTTCCTTCTATGTTTCAAATTTTGACATTTTTGTCTCACATTTTTTTTTACCTTAAAAAGATATTGAGACACAAAAAATAAAGCTCACTTCTTATTACCACTTTTGTAAAAGGTTACCGATTGATACACGTCCCCTGGAATATTATCTTAAAAGGTAAACCACACTGCATGGATTTCTTATTCAAAAGGGAGTACGACCATAAATTCCAAGGCAGCTATAAATTGGAACATGGACGTGTGCATGCTCACACAAATCTCCAAAACTCACAAAAGAAACACACAACAATATTAGATTAAAAAAAGAATTCAGAGATGGAGCAACAGAAAAGGATGGTCCTCATGGCCGCGCTCGTGGCAGCCCTACTGATGTTGTCCGCATTCGTGACGGCGACCAACGAACTAGAGAGCAAGAAAGCGGCGTCAGCCCCATCTCCGCTGTCGGAGGAATCAATCTTGCCAGATCCGGCGAAGTGCTGGGAAGATCTCAAATCGGTTCCGGGATGCGCGGAAGCGATCATGCACTTGAAACTCCGGCAACTGTCGAAGGAGTGCTGCAACGCCATCGTCGGTATCGCCGATGATTGCTTAGGCGTTATCACCGGCAGCTTCTTCACCAAACTTATCCTCAAGGCTGCCTGCAAAATCCTTTAATCAATCAACTATTTCACTTGTGTTCTGCATAATTGTATTAATTTTAGGAATAACCTGTTGGGAATATAATCTTGTTGGGGATCAAAATAAATCTGTTTTTATTTCATATTTTGTATTTTGCGTATTATGCACTTGGTCAAGGGGTGACCTATTCATTATGAGCAAATCATATCAATCGTGCTAAGTGATGCACGTGATGCAGATTTATCAGTTTGGAAAGTTTAGGTTTGACATGTGTAAAAGGAACCTCATGGAATGAATAAAATTATCCTTTGCATCTGCTTTATTCTCTCTCTCTAAATTAAATTTTTATTTTCTTTTTCTCCCAGAAACTATGTACATATTTTGGTTCATTATTTTTCTTTTAAATCATTCCGTTCTATGAATATCCATTAATATTTCGGATATTGTGTTTTTTTCGAAAGAGTATTTTGTAACAGTGGTATCAAAGCCCTGCCGGTAGGACCTGTGCTTGGTCGGGAGGACCCATATCTGGTTCGGAGGACCTGTGTCTAGTCAGGAATACTTGTGTGAGTATCTATGTCACTCATCACGCAAGGAGTAAAGGAAAATGACGGAGTGTCGTTGCAATACCCTATGTTGACGTCGTCCAATTATACGACATGGGCGATCAAGATGGATGCGATCATGGATGCCCAGGGGATCTGGGACGCAGTTGAACATGCGACCGGAGTGGTCGTAGACGAGAAAAAGAATAAGGTAGCTCGAGCGTTCATCTTTCA